TTGCCATTTCGTGTCTATCACGGCAACTACAAGTCGCGCTACGAGAATTGCCAGAATTGCTACTATCTTTGCTTCGACTACAATGGGCCGGTGTAGCTGGAACCAGACTGACATCCAAGAGTAAGCTTGGTGTGGTTCTTGCACAGCGAATGAACTAATGATGCTCCCCAAGCCGACAAGCTTTGGTGCCTCCTGCTTGATGCTTGATGTACGGTTTGGGGCTTAGTATGGCTCAGAGTTTAGGATCTTGAACTGACCTCGATTTTGGCTCGGCTCGTTGCTTGGAAGCCAAGCCTATGAAATCGTGAAATGGGCTTCAAGCCTGAAGTCTTAGAAAACTTGCCACTCGGCAAGAGTCCCAAAACGCGCCGGACTAAATCGAGCAAGTTCTCAGGTCTCTATTCTTCTCAGGCGGCACATGAGGTTTGCAAGAGCACAAGCGGCCCAGCTGCTAAGCCAGGCCAATCACTACCAAAGCTGCAAGTCCTCTCACCCAGCCCCCAATGACAAACTGACAGTGTTGCGGTCACAACTTTACTTGCTTTTGGCTTGACCACCGCGGAATGTAGGATGAAGCGTATTGACTGGGCCTGTGCTAGTTGCTGAGACGGCCCAGGATTTAGGGCATAGCAGGAGCACAGGCTTGCCAAACCGCACTGAGGCCAGCGCCCTCTTCATCTGAATCCCAGACCTCTCGAGTTAACATGATGCGTTGGCACGGAGGTCTCATCATGAGCTTCGGCCAAGGATATGTTGCTGGGCATTGTGCTTGGACAATAATCAACTCATAAATTCACCCTTGGCCCAGCGGCTGTGGTTGCCTCCAGCTCAAAGCTCGGACATCTTCACAGGCTCTGGGAAGGCTCTGCTGCTGCTACTACTGCTACTGCTACTGCTACTACTACTACTACTACTACTACTACTACCACTGCTACTGCTACTGCTACTGCTACTACTACTGCTGCTGCTACAGCTATTGCTACTGCTACTGCACTGCCACTACCACTACCTGGAACATCATGCCAAGCCATGGGAGCGGTGCCTCAAAGCTGGCTTTTTGTCTCCGTCCTTTTGCAGGCAGCACCAGCCTTGGAGAATGTAGCTGTTGCTACCCAAGAAGGCAGCCGGCAACCCCGAAGTTCACCAATGGCTCGATGAGACCATCATGCGTGCTATGCGTGCTTGAGGCGGGGCCGATGTGACACCCATCTGCAGTTCCGCACTCTGAAACGGAATTTTGATAGACTTCGGGCTGAATACTGGCAAAGGTTCGCCTCTACAACATTCGCTGCTTTCAAGGGGTGGTCTCAAGTCTGAACTTGTATCTGACTGGGCGGCTTTGGGATGCTTTGGACGCATACGAGCAGGTTGTGTGGAGGGCCTAACGTTTGTAACAATTCGCTCGTGTACTGTGCTACGACTCCGACGACTGCTGACTACTGCGACTCCTGCTACTGCTACTGCAAGCGCAACGGCAACTACAACAATAACGACGACGACCCTGCTACTGCTACTGCAAGCGCAACGGCAACTACAACAATAACGACGACGACGACGACGAAAACGGCGACCACGACCAACACTACCACCCACTACCACAGCTACTTCACGAGTAGACCAGATGCACAAAACGGTACGGCTAAGTGGTAGCCGTGCGACGACCCATCGGAGAACTGCGCACTTCGTGACGCAAGGGATCTCGGTGACCTGGCACCCAACCGCCTCTTGACTGAAGCATTCTGCCAACAGGCGGCCCTAAGAAGGTAAGCATCCATGGACGTGGCATGGGACTCCTGGACTCTCTTCGAATGCACTTATTTCAACATGTTGCAAGCTTCTTGGTGCTGGAGCTTGGCTTGTCTGACCATGTTGCATGGATTCCATGGACAACACGATGGAGCCAAGGGTGCTTTGCACTCCCAAGACTTCCCCAAAAGGTGGAGCTGAAGTTCTGAGGTCTGACTACCTTGCAACTCCGTGATGAGATCATGAAGGAGAGTCATCCGAGATGAAGTGGCCCGGTGCTCAGCTTTCCCTCCCTAGCAGCTCCGCCCATCACGAGAGCTTTCGGTGCGGCCAAGGAACTCAGGAGTGTCAGCTATCTCGTCATCCACGTCCGGGACGATCCTGTTGACCTGAGTCAGTGTATAACTCGATACTCGGAGTCCAGGAGAAGAGCCGGCACTCAGAAATCCCAAAGACTCAGCACTTGGGACCTTCTAAAGGGGTCCTGCCTGCTAATCCGCCCTCACAGCCTGGAGAGTACTCGGCTGCTAGGGCAGCTAGGTTGGAGCGTCGCAGGCATCATGTCTGGTCCTCTTGGCCTCTACCTTTAAGACGAATGATTGCACGTGCCGGACATCCTAAGCGCAAGCTCTCAGCATCTTCCCGTCCGCTTTTTCTCGGCTTCGAGCCCACTCCCTGGCCCTCCGCCGAAGCTCTTCGGGAGGAATGCTGCCCTGCAGATGAGCCCATGTGTGGGTGGGAATATTCAGTACATCCTGATTACCTACCTACATCCATGTCTCTGTCTGTGTTGGCCAACGTGTGCGCTTTCGCTTGGATGTCTGGATGCATGTGTGCATGTTATGTACCGGGTAGATGAGCGAGAAGACATGTTCAATCATGCTACATACACACACGCATAGTTGATATGGGTATGCATCACTAGGTTTTTCCACTCCATGACCCAGACAGGCGACAGCAAAACAGAAAAATCACAACACAGGAACCCACGTGCACCCTTACAAACCTTCAGTGTGTTTGCTCCGTAGAGCTTTATTGTTGTCTGATTGCCTGTCTCCGCCTGTGTCTGAGAACTCACTCTCGGCGCCGGCTGCCTACATCCTGCAGCCTGCCTTTTTCCGTCCGCGTGCCTGTCTGTGTGCATGTAAACTATCGACTGCGGCAGTGAAGGAATGGCAAACCCCGAAGAGCTTGTGATGAGCTTGCAAGAATAATCGAGTTCGCCTGTGTGGCCTCGGGCACAGCTGCAGCGGCGGGCGCAGGTGTCCGCCTGAGTTGCAAGGCAAAGCTATTCAGCTATTGACGAGCCTGGCGCCCTGGCAACGGTTTCACACGGCATGCTCGGATTCGAACATATGAGCCAACATGCTCTCAGTGGCACGTGCTCAGCGAGGGATAAGTACGAATGTGAAGGATTGTGTAAGCAACTGGATCAGCTCGAAGTCCTTACACCGCAAGGCTGCAACTACAGTCTCGCAAGAGACCTGGTTTGTGCTAAGGTGTATGAGTGGACGCTGGACAGTCTGGACACGCTGCGTCAGTAGGCACTCTCGGCCAGGTGCTGGTACTGGCAATACTGCTTCGTCGGCTTCGTGCTCAAACCGGCCGAATCTCACTCCCAATTCCGAACTTGGGTACAGAGCGGAATCTGTCGACTCTATAAACAGCCACCCACACGCTGAAAAGCTAGGATGTTGTTATTTAGATTTTAGATTGGATGATGCTCGCGTGCCCAAAAACTACCGAAAGTCGGCACTATCCGAGGCCCCTATGAGAATACCAATGCACGTCCATGGCACGGAATCAAAGGTGCAGCCATCGCGAAGGCGTCGACCTGAGGCACAGAAGACGGCAGTTTCACGGGGACCAGCTCAAGGCGATCCATCTTCCATGGGTCGGCTGAGTCCTGGGTCTTAACATAATATAGGGACCTTAATAATTAGAATGGG